GGCCATCTCAGAGTAAATTGGTAGCTGAGAATAAGTATAATAATACTGCAGTGGATAAGAATGGTAAGAAGACTATTGATTCTTATCCAACTGGATTTAAAAGAACAGGACCCCTGTTGTCTCAAGAGGAATTTCAGGAAAGAAGTAGAAAGGGGCTATGTTTTAAATGTGGTGAAAAGTGGAGTAAAGAACATACTTGTAAATTGAAAATTTTCAAGTTGATGTTGGTTGAAGAGGTAGTTGAGGAAGAACAGTCAGAACAAATTGAAGATACCATACCAGAAAATATCTGTCATGAAGTAATGGAATCTAAGTCCATGCAATTATCCTTGATGAGCAAAGAAGGGATTCCTACCATGAGGGCTTTCAAAGTGCAGGGGATTCTTAGGGGAGGAGCAAGAGATCAACATGTGAATGTGTTGATTGACAGTGGGGCTACCCACAACTTTATTTCACAGCAGTTGGTGGAGCAATGGAAACTGCCTTTTCAGACAGTTTCTGATTACAAAGTACAGATTGGTAATGGGGATTACATAGCCAATAACAAGAAGTGTCCTCAGTTGATATTAAACTTGCAAGGAGCTGAGATAATACAGGAATTTTATATCCTAAATTTAGGGGGCACTGATTTGGTATTGGGTATGGATTGGTTGACAAGTTTGGGAGATGTAGAGATAAACTTTCAGAGACAGAAAATTAAATGGAAACAGGGGGAACAGGAGGAGTGCATTCAAGGAGATCCTAAACTGAATTCAATGGAAGTGTCATTGAAAACATTTTCACAAATATTATGTGATAATGGAGATGGTTATTTCTTATATTGTGAAGGAAAGAACCTGGAAATGGAGCAAGAAGGAGGACTGGAAACTATATGGAAGCAGATTTTGGAAGAATTTACAGAAATTACAAAACCTAGAGAAGGTTTACCCCCCAGAAGAAATTGTGATCATTCTATACTGATTCAGGAGGGAGCTAAGATACCTAATATCAGACCTTACAGGTACCCACAGTACCAGAAGACTGAAATAGAGAAGATTGTGAAAGAAATGCTGGATTCTGGGATTATCCAGAATAGCAATAGTCCATACAGCAGTCCTATACTCTTAGCCAAGAAGAAGGATGGTGGATGGAGGTTCTGTGGAGATTACAGAGCCCTTAATAAAATCACAGTTCCTGACAAATATCCAATCCCAATAATTGAATAACTACTTGATGAACTTGGGGAGGCTACCATATTTGATGAACTTGGGGAGGCTACTACCATATTTTCTAAGTTGGATCTAAAATCTGGCTACCATCAGATTAGGATGAAAGAAGAAGATAGGATGAAGACAGCTTTCAGGACACATGAGGGCCATTATGAATATTTGGTAATGCCCTTTGGTCTAACTAATGCTCCCTCTACCTTCCAAGTATTGATGAATCAGGTACTAAGGCCTTATTTGAGAAAATGTGTCTTAGTCTTTTTTGATGATATCTTGGTATACAGTAGAACTAAGGAGGACCACATAGAGCATTTGAGAGCAGTCCTATCTGCTTTGAGGGATAATCAGTTGGTGATTAACCCAAGGAAATGCTCTTTTGGACAACCTCAATTAGTCTACTTGGGGCATATTATTTCTGGAGTAGGAATAATAGCAGACCCTACCAAGATTGAAGCCATGGTTACTTGGCCAAAACCCCAGAATTTAAAGGAGCTGAGAGGGTTTTTGGGGTTAACTGGCTATTACAGAAAATTTGTTAAGGGGTATAGTAAAATTGCAGCACCCCTTACACAACTCCTAAAGAAAGACAGTTTTCAGTGGGGAGAACAAGCTACTCAATCTTTTGAGGAGTTAAAAAGAACCATGACTTCACTCCCAGTCCTAGCTACACCTAACTTCAATAAAACCTTCATTCTAGAGACAAATGCTTCTGGAACTGGGTTAGGTGCAGTTCTTATGCAAGAAGGCAGACCTGTGGCTTTTATGAGCAAGATATTATCTAAAAGAAACCAAAACAGATCAGTTTATGAAAGAGAGCTCTTGGCTATTGTGTTAGCAGTACAGAAGTGGAGACCCTATTTGTTGGGAAGAACTTTTGAGATTGTAACTGACCAAAAGAGTTTGAAGTTTCTGACAGAGCAAAGATTAATGGGTGAAGAACAACAGAAGTGGACTTCTAAGTTGTTGGGGTACAATTTCATCATCAGATATAGACCTGGGGTAGAAAGCAAAGCTGCTGATGCTCTCTCTAGAAGACCTATGCTCCAGTCTCTTTCAATTGTGACATGTCAAGAATGGGATGGATTGGAAGAAGAATTGAAGGCTGACATCAAATGTGCAGAGTTGATTCAGAAGGTGATTTCTTATCCAGATCAATATTCAGAATTTCAGATCATTAAGGGTTTGTTATATTATAACAAGAAACTAGTTCTACCTCAAGGATCACCCAGAATCATAAAGATCATGAGGGAATATCATGAAACTGCCATGGGAGGGCATTCAGGATATTTTAGAACCATGAAGAGAGTATCCAGTCTTTTCTTTTGGCAAGGTATGAGGAAGGATATAAAGAAGTGGGTGGAAGAATGTGTGGTTTGTCAGACTAATAAATACCAAGCTTTGAAGCCTGCAGGACTACTACAACCTCTCCCCATACCAAATAGCAGTTGGACTGACATTAGCATGGATTTCATTGGAGGATTACCCAAATCACAAGGGAAGGATACTATACTGGTGGTGGTGGACAGATTAACTAAATATGCTCACTTTATTGCTTTGTCACATCCCTACAATGCTAAGGAGGTAGCTGATGTGTTCATTAAAGAAGTGGTCAGATTACATGGGTTCCCTAAAACTATAGTCAGTGACAGAGATAGTGTTTTCCTCAGTGTTTTTTGGTCTGAACTATTCAAATTGGCTGGGACACAATTGAAGTACAGTACAGCTTATCATCCTCAGACTGATGGTCAGACTGAGGTGGTTAACAGATGCTTGGAAACTTATCTCAGGTGTTTAACAGGAAGAAAACCAAAAAAATGGCTTAATTGGTTACATTGGGCTGAATATTGGTACAATACTAACTATCATGCTGCACTGAAAACTACCCCTTACAAGGCTCTATTTGGACAGGACCCTCCTGCAGTAATTAGAGGAGATGTTACAGTTACTGCAATAGAAGAAGTTTCAAAACTGACTGCTCAGAGGAATATAATATTGGATGAGTTGAAAGAGAATTTGGCCAAAGCTCAGAATCAGATGAGGCAGCAGGCCAATAAACACAGGAGAGAGGTTACATTGGAGATAGGGGATCAGGTTTATCTGAAAATTCAACCTTATAAGCTGAGGAGTTTAGCTAAGAGGATGAACCAGAAATTAAGCCCAAGATTTTATGGTCCATTTCAGATTATTGAAAACTCAGTTCTGTGGCTTTTAAACTGCAGTTGCCAGAATATTGCAAAATTCATCCTGTGTTTCATATATCTTTGTTGAAAAAAGCTATATCATCTACTACCTACTTTCAACCTCTACCTAAGTGTCTGAATGAAGAATGGGAGTTGCAGGTTGTGTCAGAAGAAATTTTGGACACAAGGGTTGATACAGATGGTAATTGGGAAGTGCTGGTTCATTGGAGCAATCTGCCACAATTTGAAGATTCTTGGGAGTCAATGAAAATGATCAAAGAACAGTTTCCAGAGTTTCACCTTGAGGACAAGGTGAATTTCCAGGGGGGAGTATTGTTAGACATGCAGCAAGGCAGTCAGTGGAATTTTATAATAAAGTGTATAAAAGAAGAGTTAATAGGGAGGCTGTTATTAACTAATAACTAACGGGTTAGTTAGTTAGTTATTGTCCCTGCGTGGACATTACTATAAATAGAAGGGCTCAGCTAGCTGAAGGTAGTTTTAGACTCTTGGCTAGAACAGGACCGGGAGATTAGGCATCTCGAATTGTCTACAGTTGTATAATCTGATTTGGTGAATAAAGTGTGTGAACTGTGTGTTGTTTTTGAACAATTCTGTATTCGATAGTGTATGATCTATCATTCAGCCAATATAGCCAGAAAAGTAACTACAACCTCACTTTTTCTGCTTATTACAAACTTCACCGCGCGAAATTAAAAGTTACTTGTTTGGTGAAAAAGTTGGCTGATAAATCTGATAAGCCGAAAAAAGGATTTAATAACCCATTTACCGAAGGTACTAAATGTTGGTATTTGAATCATGTTTTAAATAATACTAATGAATACTTTGTTTATGAGGACATTTTCAATTTTATGATCCTAAAGAAGGATCTCATTCACTCCGCCTTACATATTTTCTTACACGTTAATTGACGTATGGGACCAGTGTTCTAATGTCTTACTTGACCAGCATTTTTTTGTGGAATCTAGGTAAAAAAATTACCGTAAAATGAATCCATGAGAGGGCAAGTTTGGTGTTAGCCATCTTTGTAGTTCCAATATAAGCACTTTATATCGAAGTTCTTGCGGTTAAAAACTATGTCAATTTTTGCAAACCTAATCGAGAACTTTCAAATTGGATAAATCATAAATGCAATACGACTTTATGTGATAGTAATTTTTTTTTAAAATAGGAATACAAGTTTGCAAAAAGTCCCAAAATGATAATATGCATGTCCATTAATTATATGTCAAAAAACAAATGTATCTTTCAATTTTCTTTAGAAACAATTAAGCATAAAAGTTATAAAGTTGACTAAAATAAACTACACCATCCAACTATATTTAGAACTATTAAAAACATATGGCAATTATGTCCATTATATGAGTGGTATATAAACTCTCCAATAGTCCAATACATATAGTTCAAGAGTACAAATTGATAACTTAGAGGCATTTCAAATTCTTGAAATCTAGTATTTATATTATTTTTTTCTTCGTTTTCTCATAAGGAGGAATAGGGTTTTGAAGTAAGGTTTTAACGTCTAATAATACTCCATAATTAATATGGAACACAGCAATAAGTATGTATCGTATGGAACATCACACAGGCCAAGTAACCAAGTTCACGCTTGATTGTTTGATGAAGTCACTAAGCCATACAACTATAGTTGGTGCTTAAAAATGGGATGGAAGAGAAAAGAAAGGAACGTTTTTAAATTTTCATGTTCCGTTTGACCTTGAAAAATAAAAATAAAATCACATTTGATATAAAAAAAAAAATGTTTTTTTTGCATGCACAATTACACAAAGCAAAGAGATCTTGCTTTCTATGCTAAAAAACGAGAGAGAAATCAGATGGTTAAACTGCAAAATGTGGAACTAGTAGGATGATTCCTTGTTGAAACATGTCATAGCTCTTTCCAGATCCTACCAGTGACTCTGAGTTTGAGCTCTTTCCGATCACCACCGGAGAAGAAAAGAGCCATCTTACGTTGAATGACAAGGCCATCATAGCTTTCACGGACCTTCCGATGACTGTCCCGTATACTTCTCGGAACCCCTTGCCAAGTCATCTTCCTCCCGTTCCCTCCGACTTCAAGGCTGTAGCTATACTTTTTAGCTTCACTATCATCCCCCATGAACCTCAAGAATGCTATGTAAGCTGGGGACGTCCCCAACTGAAATGCTTCGAAATGCAAGCAAAAATACTGCCCAAAGCAACTGAATACCTACAATCGAAGTGTCAAAACATATATATTAAGAACATAGCAGTTACAAACTACATAACAGGAATTTTAAAAACAGAAAAATTAAAGAGAGAATTAAAAAAACAGCATTTACTAATAATACTTAGAGCCAGTTTGTAATGATAATTGATTGGAATGGTAAAATTTGCCAAACTTTATGATATGGAAAAACATTTACTAAAATCCACTTCAGCTAAATGAGCAAGTCATAAAGCTACTTATTCGGGCTATTCTACTGATGAGCAGAATAAACCAAATGAGGCTACTAAAAAGGCTTTATATTAAAAATAATACTAAAGCTTAAATTTTGATTACAAGAATAACTTGGCCAAATCTTGAAATAAGAAATGTTTCCTACAGTTTGTGATGGATTGAATTAAAACTCACAATTTATCAACATTCGAAAAAACTAAAATAAAATGTACAGTGATTCCACAAGCTCATAACTACAAGGTTAGGTTCTTTGCAAACGGCGTATTAAAAAAGACATGTTTCCATTAAATTTAAAAAATGTAATATACATTGACCACTTCAATCCACGGGTTCACCGGTAACCTCAAAACTGGCCGGTCCAACCTCGGTTCACACCCTGTTGATTAACAGCTGGTCTGAGTGAAGTTTTAATCACTGAGGTTGTGTTTAGATCAGGAGAATCAGACATGTCCCCCACAGCATTTACATATAACAATTTATAGAATCATCCAGTTGCACCATTATGCAGAGCATGTAGAGAAAACAAGCATAAATATGATTCTAGTCCCCGCAAATATATATCTTTGGGGTTTGGACCCCTACAAAAAAATTCCCTCATCTCTGCAATTTAGGTTTTTTTTTTTGTTTTTAGTCCCTCACTAAGTCTCTAGCAACTCCCACTTTAACAGAAAAATAGACATGACTGAGGGGATTTGTATCTAGCTTTGTGACAGTATTTCATTTTTTTTTAACCAGTAAAAGTTCCAACCCTCAGAGGTTGGGGTAGGAGCTCGGGAACATCCTACCAGTTTATTAAATGAAACAGAGAGGTACACGAGTAGGACTGTAGGAGGACATAGACACCTCTACGAAAGATGTTAACAAGCAGTTTCACTTAGCCTTAACTCAACTACTAGTCTTTAAGAAGTCGCAATAAAGTTAATGTAACAAGTTTAGATGGAAGTTATGAAAGCAATATTAATATTTTTTCTAAATGGAGTTTTGCTGAGAGTAAGGGAAGGACTACAAAAAGTGCACAAACCAGAGATGAAAAATATTTTACAGGGATAAAAATGAAAAGGCTGTATCTGAATGGACAAAAGGCACATTTAAGCAAAATAAAAAAGAAGCTTACAGTGAGCATCCACGTGGCATTATCAACCTCATGTGGATTGGACTTAACGTAGCGATGGTTAAAAGTGGTTCCATTGTGCATATCAACCTTGTGTTCCTCTTTCAAATGTTTCACTAAAAAGGGAATGTCTCCACTCACGGAGCACTCAGATCCCGCATAAGGGCAATTGTAAGGTCTGAAAGCACATTCAGACTCATGCTTCAGCTTGCTATAGTAAGGGTATACCCCCACGCACCCAAAACTGTGGTACTTACAAGGGAGTTCGAGAGATGCAGCGACCTTCTCAAGAGCAAGGCATCTGATGTTGCCAAGCTCATGCCTACACGTTGGGCATCGGTTTTGTACCCTCGGCTTGCACCCAGAACACAACGTGTGACCATTGCAACACTGAGATGTGGTAAGAGGAGGGTTAATATTGGAATAACAAAAAAGTAGAGCACAAAAACTGCAAGTTATATACTGAGTATAGAAAGTGGTTCCAAAAACCAGTCTAACTCTTATATTCAGTGGTGTAGCCAAAGGAGGAAATTGGCGTGGGACGGATAAACAAATTCATCCATACAACTTTTTTATAAATTTTCACACAGAAGTTTTACATATAAATATAAAGGATTTTATCAAAAGTGAGTTGGGTCAGAGCATGGGTCCCCCCGGCTACGCCCATGCTTGTATTCCACTTTGTTTTGGAGAACAGATTAGGAGGAGAGTTTTTCTCAAGATAATTATATATGCTTTATGAAAATAAATAATGATTATAATGTTGAGTTTATACTTTATACTCATTTATCATTTCATATTTTTAACTATGATAAATAACTCCTCCACCCCCTTCCTCTCCAAAACGGAACTCCCCAAGATATCAAATTCTAGTAATATTTTCCTTTTGTCATTTCTCAACTAAGAGAACTATATCTGGATCGTGATATTGAATAAAAGACACATATATTGAGTTGACAGTGATTTATCATTTTTATATTTTTTTATCTGAATATTTATCAAGTTAAACTAATATTATTTTATTATGGAGAATAACCCATGCAACCCCTCCCCCATAAAAATACTAACTCCAAATGACGCACTAAGATTTGTTTGGATGATGGGTCCGGTTCTTGATAAATATAATGATTCTGAAATGAAATAAAGTGTGTTTGAAATGTTATATGATCACTCATTACGTTATTTCTTCAGTTTTCTTAAACCCTCAGGGTATGTTTGGAGTGAAAGGGAGGGAAAGGATTTGAAGATAAGTTATTGAGCTTAAATTATCATTTAGTTAGTCATCCTTCAAAACCCTTCATTTTGGAGGAACTTAAAAATTGAACATTTGAGGGGTTTAGGAGGGTCACAAAAACCTTCCAAAATCATTCCTCCACATTGTTTAAACTCCCAAACACAAATAGGATGGTCATCAACCCTCACATGTCTTCCCCCCACTCTCAAAAACCTACTCCCAATCACACCCTTAGTATATATCAAAATAGAGATAACCCTCCATCCAAACTGACTGCAAGGCTTGTTTCTTTCAAGGATATCAGAGGGAAAGGGAGGGAAGGATTGATTTTAATTTTACAAAGTAATGCTAATTTGTTAGTTCTAGACTACAAATAATTGCATGCATACTTAGATCAAACACTTCTACGTAGTCTTTACCTTCGCATTAATCCCAACCATCTAAACATAGAAGTATAGAAATAATTTTAAAAAAATGAATAACCTCCCCTTCTCAACACTCTGAAATCCCCGAACCAAACATGCCCTATGATTCCTAAAAGTCAGGGTGATTAAGAGTTGGGACTACCTCTAGCAACTTCTTTTATTAGAACTCAATTAAGTTTATTCTTAACTCATTCAACACTATATATAATTAGCAGATCCTCCACACATGAAACAATGTAGTTATGAGCTTACTTATTTCAAGCATGGTGAAAGATTCTACACAATTAGCCAAGCTACAACTTATACCCCTTTGTGACCACAATATCTTTTATGTTAACCATAGATACCTGATGAATAGGTGGATACATAGCATTTCGGCACACCGGACATTCCAATAGTTCGCTAACGCTGCTAGAAACTGTTGAATTAGGTTTATAAATGGGCTCTTTGTCGTCATGACCACAATCTGTTGAATCTTCATCTTGTGGAAGAGGATCCATGAGTTTGGGTTTACACCGAATATCAACGAAATATGGAGTTCCAGTTACCATTCCTAATTTGAGTTATTCGTCTGCACAACTCACTTTTGTTAGTGAAGCACACATAAGTTCCAGAACATAAGATTTGCAGATGTGTGTAAATAATACTACCTCCGGCCTGCTAACATTGGGACAAGAGGATGTGACACGGCTATTAAGAAAAGTAGGTTTATGTGGTTGCTATTGAATTGATAAAATAAGAATAAAGTAAGAATGATTTAGAGCCACATAAACTTTACCAAAGTGATATGGGACAATCTTACTAGGATTTCCCGAAAAGGTAAAATGGTATCATCTTAGCGGGACAGGGGAAGTAGTTCTTACCGGATTTAGTCCCTCCACTATGGCACTACACACTACTAGGACCTATTCATTTCAACTATGTTGGGTTTGAACTGGCATGTTTATGCCTGGTGATCTGTTTGAGTTATCTACTTGTCTAATCATTTCTCTTTTTATGTTATTGCGAATTTCATTAAATATTACTCCGCATTTAATATTGGTCGGCATTGTCTGATTTGGTTTGTCTAGGTTTGGTCTAGTTTTGGAGTTTTTACTTTTCTTGTTAAATTGACTTGAATTGTTGAAGAGGAACATTTTTGCTATTTTTAATATAATTATTCTATATTCTATTAATTAAATATACTCCGTATTTTAAATATAATTTTTTCACAATCTAAAATACTCAACCAATTTAGCCACTTCATCCAGATTTTCATCAATTTCAGTCAATTCAGTGTTACCAAACTGACTCTTAGTACCAATGGATGACCGGAGAACAATACTCTTCCTAATTTAAAATACTATCGTAAAACATATGCATTAGAGCTACATTGAGTCTAAACTCATGGTCTAGAACCAATTGACCAAATTATTCAAAAGAAACTAATTAAATATGTAATTACTTACCTCCATTAATTTAAAAGAAAGAAGAGGACATGCATTAACAGTGAAATTCGAAATTAGTGTATAGGGGCATACTAAAAAAATCCTTTACATTTTAAATTTCATTTGCAATTTGCAATTAGTTAAAAAGTTTGATCAAAAGGCAGATGGATAATTATCTCATTGTCTGTTCTCCATGAACCAGAGTAATATATTAAATGTTTCTTATTTTATTTTTAATATATACTCTCACAGACAGGAAGTCAGGAGGTAAAAAGTACATAGAATTAGGGTCTGAGAGAAGAGACGGGTTGTGTGTGGAATATATGCACAGGATGGACTTTGAACAGTAACATTGTTGACTGCGGCATGGACCGACCAATGTCATCAAATTCAAATGTAAAAATCTAGTTTACCACAAATGACTATACAGTAAATAAATGCCAAATTTCTGGAGAAATGAATGTAAACCTTTGTGCAGAAATGCCACACTAAGATTGACAGAATGCCCACAACAGATCTAGAACCGTTCCATTCAAGAAAGGGCAATATGACAGAGAAAAAACAATCCCAATACAATAAAGTTGCAATCTTTAGTGCAAAAACATACTGATTTATGCTCCCAAACAATTGTACCTGAGATTAGAATCAGCAAGTCAGGACACCATCAGAATTAAAAGGATCACACAAATGCTACACTTCCGATTCCACAGACCCAGAAGATGAAAACCGAAACAATATATAAATAAACTGAAGAGGAAGAAGAGGGACAAGAAATGGTGGTTGTGTGGAAAGAGAGATTTCGTTCAAGAAGGGGAGGACAAAGAGAAGAGGATGGGGATTTCAATTTTTAAATTAAAGCCATGTCCCTTTGTACGAGTTTGGGAGTGCGGTGGGGGAAGGGAGGAGTTTCCTGGAAATGGAAAACTAATGCAGAGGTTGGAATGGGGCCCGCGGGTAGGAGGGAGGATCGCACCGTAGCGACGGAACCGTTCTTTTATGTTTGTCAATTGGGATCGACCGATGGGTAGGAGGGATTTATCTCCTACAGTGTTGACGACAAATCAACAAGATAATCCGGTAAAAACTATAGTCGAATATTTTGGGAGCACGGTTCATTTCGACTATTTTGGGTAGGTAGGTGTTGGCGAAAACAATGAGATCCCACACCTCTTTCAAATCACAAATTCAAATGACTCTACGGTCATTCACTCACTCTTAATATAAAAATTCAATATAACAATATCACTTTGCATTATGCAATTATTTTAGAGTCACAAGTTCAAATGACTCTACAGTCACTCACTCACTCTTAATATAAAAGCTCAATATAATAATATCACTTTGCATTATACAATTGAAATGTACAAGAGATATTTACAAGTAAACAGGTAGCTCGTTTCACTCTTTGTATATGAGACTACTTCATTCTCACTCTCATCTTTCAATAAGGCTCTAACTCACTCAAGAATTCTCCTTGAGACTCTCTCACTCATCACTCAAGGAGGCTCTCTCTAAACCCTCTCTAGGCTCACACTAGGCTCTCACACAAGGCTTCCTCACAAGAATGAGGAGTCTCACCCTTATTTATACTACTCTCTTCAAAGCTTCTCTAGAACTTTCTATACATCACTACACTTCTAGATTCTTCCAAGAAGTGACCACAAGCTTCTCTAATCTTCTAGAAGGATCTAGATAACTCCACATGGTTTCAGAATGTTCTAGAAGCTTCCACACACTTCCGCACGATTCTAGAGAATTCCACACTTCTCTAGAAAACACCACAATGTTCTAGAATGTTCAACACTCTTCCACATGCTTCTAGATAATTCTATGCCTCTCTAGAAAGCTCCAGAACACTCTATAACATTCAATACGTTTCTTCACACATCTAGAGAATTCTAGACATTTTCACAAAATTCTAGAATTCTCATGAACTTCTCAATTAAGGAGTGAACCCAACAAATCTCCCCCTATCGACTTAATTGAGAAGTACCTGTCAATGACCAATAGCAGCCTCGCATTTAGACTCAGTAGTCTCCACCTCACATGTGAGTTGCTCCCCTTCAAACAAAGCTTGCATCACACCATACGAGCAGCCACCAAGGAATGGTCATGATCTCCTCCGCGCCAAGAATTTATCCATTAAACTATCTTGTACCACTATTATCTACTAACGGGACACGTCGCTTGATTACCTCAATATCAGGAAGACTTTCGATACAACGCATCTGTGAAACAAATGCAAGACCAAATCCTGGACACGATGTTCTCATGAAGATCTCCTCTCCACTGACACTTGATGTGCAATTCATCTTGTACCGTTGTTGTTTACCAACGGGACACGCCGCCTGACCACCACAATATCAGGAAGACTTTCGATGCAACGCACCACTAGCAAACCAAGGCATGAGACCAGAATGAGAACCACCCCACACAATGCAACTCATCACTCTGCTCCATATATGTATGACTCAAACTTCATAGTGAAGTCCATCATCCCATCAAAGAGTATGATCTCGAATGCCTCTAACAGCACTACTACCATCACGGTAAGACGAGATCCCCACGATGAACTCTACCCATTACTCTAAATCCAACAACCCAGCTCTGATACCACTGTTGGGGAAAACACGACCCCAGATCTCTTCCAGGATCATTAACTCAAAGGACTCTTGTACACTCACGCACTCACTAGTAATATAAAGACTCCATCTAACAATAACACTTTGTATTATACAATTGAAATGTACAAGAGATATTTTACAAGTAAACGGGTAGCTCACTTCACTCTTTGTATATGGGACTACTTCACTCTCATTGCCTTTTCTCAAGGAGACACTTACTCATTCAAGAGCTCTCCTCAAGTCTCTCTCTCATCACTTGAGGAGGCTCACTCAAGGCCCTCTCTAGGCTCACACTAGGCTCTCACACAAGGCCTCCTCACAAGAATGAGGAGTCTCACCCCTATTTATACTACTCTCCTCAAAGCTTCTCTAGAACTTTCTATACATCACTACACTTCTAGATTCTTCCCAGAAGTGACCACAAGCTTCTCTAATCTTCTAGAAGGATCTAGAGAACTCCACACGGCTTCAGAATGTTCTAGAGGCTTCCACACACTTCCACATGATTCTTGAGAATTCCACACTTCTCTAGAAAGCTCCACAATGTTCTAGAATGTTCTACACTCTTCCACATGCTTCCAGATAATTTCACACCTCTCTAGAAAGCTCCAAAACACTCTAGAACATTCAATACATTTCTTCACACATCTAGAGAATTCTAAACATCTTCACAAAATTCTAGAATTCTCATGAACTTCTCAATTAAGGAGGGAACCCAACAGTAGGAGGGATTTATCTTGTACAATATGGATTTATCTCCCTTTGATGAAGCAGTTTGTTAAAGGAGAATAATGTAACTTGGTGAAGATCATTGATGAAAACAATAGACATGAGTGATTTGTTTCTGATGTTAATTAGATTCTCAATCGTGCGATACACGGGATAAAGTTATGTAAATTTTATATTATATCACATAAATTATGATGATGATATATACATCATCCAAAACAGCTGCAAATATGAGATTGCATCATGACAAACGAGTTGATGATGGGATAATGAGACATCCAGCAGATTCTAAAGCATGGAAAACACTTGATGAACTATCTCCATTATTTGCATCCGATCCCTGAAATGTTCGGCTTGGTGTAGCAAGTGATGGATTTAGCCCTTTAGAAACGGACACATCACTCATAGTACATGGCCAATAGTTCTTATCCCATATAACTTACCTCCATGGCTTTGCATGAAACAACATTCTTTAATTCTTTCCACACTTGTTCGTGGTCCTACGGGACCTAAGGATAAGATTGATGTTTATCTGCAACCTTTAATAGATGAATTGAAGTTGCTTTGGGAGGTTGGTGTTGAAACATATGATGCTTCAAAGAAAGAGAAATTCAGAATGTTTGCTGCAGTACTATGGACAATAAGTGACTTTCCGGCATACGGTGATCTTTCTGGTTGGAGAACCAGTGGGGCTGTAGCTTGTCCATCATGCAATAGTGAGACTTGCTCTTATAGATTGAAAATGGATCAAAGCACTGTTCATGGGTCATCGCAGATTTTTGCCCAGTGATCATGAACGGAGATATGATACAAGTAGCTTTGATGAGAAGCTTCAGTTAAGGCCCGCACCTAAAGTGTTGTATGGTGATGAAATTTTTAAGCAATTAGCTAACCCTGAAGATGTTATATCATCTTCATGTAAGAGTAATCCTAAGAAGAAAAAGAAAAGGCCATTATGGATAAAAAGGAGCATCTTTTTTGAACTTCCATATTGGAGTAGTCTTCCATTACGTCATAATTTACATGTTATGCATATCGAGAAAAACGTATGTGAAGCTTTACTTGGGACGTTGTTAAATATTGAAGGAAAGAGTAAAGATAACTTTAGTGTACGTCTTGATTTGGAGGAGATGAATATAAGAAAATCATTGCATCTTAAAAGCCATAGAGATGGAACTATAGAGATGTCGGCAGCTCGTTGTACATTATCCTCACAGCAAAAAAAAGGATTTTTGTAATTTTTTGACAAGTGTAAAATTTCCTGATGGCTATGCTTCTAATATTTCACAAAATGCATTGCTAAAAAAGAGAAAACTCTCTGGTTTAAAAAGCCATGATTTCCATATCATCATGAAACATTTGTTACCTCTTGCAATAAGGAGTTGGCCTAGCACCTTGTATGCACCACTTATTGAGTTGAGCACCTTTTTTACCGAGTTATCCTCTAAGGCATTACAAACAGTTGAGCTAGAACAATTACAAAACAAAATTGTTGCAATCATGTGTGAACTGGAAAGAATATTTCCACCTTCTTTTTTTGTGATGATGGTGCACTTACCCATACACCTAGCAAGGGAAGCTATTGATGTTGGACCGGTTCCGTATCCCTGGATGTACCTTATTGAAAAGTAATATAAATTTCAATTTGTGTTTTTATAATTGTTTAATGTTATTAGTTTATATAAGATGTTAATATCTTTTCATTGAATATGTATCTATGTAAATCGAAAGGGTATGTGCGCAATAAAGGCCATCCTGGGGGTTCAATAACAGAAGGATATCTTTTAGAGGAGTGTTTGACATTTTGTTCAAGATATATGGAGGATATAGAAACGAAACTCACTAAGCAAGATAGAATTTTAGATGATTGTGATGTCTCTCCATCTCCGGATTGTTTGTCTACTTTTCTAACAAGAGGCAAATCACTGGGAAAGGCAACTCCGAAATTAGTTTCAACAAATGAATGGAAAAAGATTCATTTTTTTGTGTTGAACAATTGTGATGAAGTAAAACCGTTTATCACGTATGATTTTCAACAGCATTTTGTACTTAATTAATTATTACATTGAAGTCTATAAATTAAATTTTACATATTTGTTTGATAGTGATTACCATGGAGAAGTTGCATATAGCACAATGATGACATCGATCCAGAAAAAGAAATTTATTCTATGGTTTAGAGATCGAGTAAGACTTTCCAGGAAAACCAGGCTTGCTTAACTCTTATGTTTTTATGTTAACATACGTAATTAATTAATAATCTCTATCTACATGTGACAACACTGTCCCAGGAAAATCACTCAAGTGTTACAAAACACTTGCTAGCACTGACACATGGCCCAGATTGTGCAATCACTTCTTTTAATGGCTACATGGTTAATGGTTTCATGTTTCGCACGGTAGTTTTTGAAAGGGGAAGGGAAACACAAAATAGTGGTGTTGTTGTGAAGGGGAGAGTGGAGCAGAAAATCTTGAGTATTATGGAGTCTTGAAAGAAATCATAGAAGTTCAATATATCGTAGGGAATCGGGTGTCATTGTTCAAATGTGATTGGTGGGATATTCATAGTTAGGGCGGACGAATAACTACTGATCGTTTTGGGTTCACTTAATAGTGGAGTTATTTTTTTACTTCTTCCCTTAAATATTAATTGTTCACTTAA